TACTTGTTGTAAAATAATAGGCCATCCTTGATATAAGGTGCCGCTCTAGTATAAGCAGCATAAAAACCATTTTGATCGCACGTATATACAGGAACAAGGCTGAATTTATATTTGTGATAGTATGAAGGTGGCTCACAAGCACCAGATTCAACAAGCTTGGAATTGAGCCAGAAGAACCGAAACTCGGCTGTGCAATCATAAAGAGAATATCCTCGCCAACAAATCATATCGATGACGTAGTAAGTTTGATCCATCTGCATGACATTCGAACTTCTACTTGTCAGTAAAAAATTTGGCCGACAGAAAGGCATAAGAAATATGAGAAACTTACTTCATGAAATATACAATCCAGGATAGAATATGATTGACCGGATCCAGAGGCATCTCTTCTCCTTGCTCCGTTGGGTAGAGCAGAAGGAAAACGATGCAGAATTGATCCATTTCGTAGCCTACTGATAGTTGTGCCATTGGAAGAAACAACAAAGCAACGTTTCCCGGAAGGCCTTGCAAATACGTACCTACAAGAATCCAAAGCATCGCAGAAACGTCACTCTCACCTTCGATCATTCCATGCAAATTTACAGAAAAATGAAAATATTCTCTCTCTCTTTTTCCTCTTCAGAATACTTATTGACATCAGAATAAGACATTTAGCGAGAAGTATCGTCCAAATTTCGGTGACGCCTTTCAATTAGCCAAGCACGAGACGTGAAGGAGAAAAAGGCAACCGAATACAATTGAATTTGAATGCGAACACGCGACTAGGAGAAAAAATCTGAGAGTGCAAGACTAATAGAAAGGCAACGATGATAAGATGATGTGTCGAGTAAAAAGAAACAAGATCTAAGTCCGAGTAGTAGTTGAAGAAAACGCAAACATAAATAGCTAACTGAATACTAGTAACTGAGAAATGAAAGGAATTATAACCAGTCTTCGCTAAGTCGATCAGGAACATCTATCATCCATTCAGGAAGTAACAGTTGCCTCGAAAACCACTTACGAGCCTCTGAACCTTTGAGCTTCGAAGCCTGGCGAACATCGAACTCCTTCAGAGAAGGCTCGTTAAATTCACTCTGCGATCTAAGCACCGGCGAGCATTCCGTTTCGGAATCGAGTTCATTTAGCTCAACCTCCAACACCGACTCAGAGGTACTAGGCTCGTTGAATGTGGAAGAGAGGGAGAGGAGCGTGGAGGCTAAGGAACGTGCTTGTTGCTGAGCGTCGCGACGATTCTGCTGTTGCCGTTGTAAAGAAAACTCCCGCCGCTTCTGCTGGTCGGAGATCGCGGGGCGTTTGTGAGGACGGCGAATGTCATGCGGTGCCATCTTCGCGCAATTCGGTTTTGGTTCGCAATATGAATGTGCGGTCTCCAAATCGGTTCGGCCTCGAAGGTCGCCCGCCGCGGCAATATCATGGAAGAAGAAACTCAGAAGTTGGGTTTATAGAATATTGGGCCCTCAACATTAATGGGCTTTTGAGCCCAGTACCGAATGACCGAGTTTTATATTAATTCCAATAAATAAATTAAAAATATTAATTTTATTTTGACAACTATTTTTTTCTTTCCTTTCCCTTGTGTGGGAGATCCTTACTCTTTTTTAAAAAATAATTTTAATAATAGAAATGTGTCCTAAAAAATCCAAAAAATAGCTTCATAATTTTTTTTGGTTGTCTTTTATCTATTAAAAAAAAGCCGAGTAAGAAGGCAGGTAGGTGGGGTGTGGAGGCTTTGGGGAATGCATTCGAACTTGCCTTTTTAACTACAATTATATTTAGATTAACAGAATGAAATAATATTTTTAAAATATATATATATTAAAAAAATGATTTGGTAATAGTAATAGGAAAGGAATTGACGTTAATTGAGAGAAGATACAAAAATGGATGAGATGCACGTTTTTATTTGGAAAGCGATGAAAGCGGAAAGAAGAGAACCCCGAAAGGAAGATGCTTTGTCTCACTCCGCAGTTTAGTATTTAATTATTATTTATCACTCACTCCCTATTCCCTATTCCCTAATCCCCCCCACCCCCCCCTTTCCCAAATTCCAAACCCGATTCTCCATTTCCGCCATTTAAGCTTAGCTTCCCTTTCTCTTCTCCCCCATTTCCCTCTCATTTCTTCTATCTATTCCATCCCACTCCTTTGCTCTGCAGGGCCCTTACTTCCCACCGCTTACGCCCAACACTCCCAATGTGTTTTCCTCCTCCCTCTTCCTCATAACGTTCTGTAACTCAGAAGAGACAGAGAGTGATGGGGTTAAATTTGGGGCTCACAAATGGCCTGTGATTTTCCCATGCCGGAGATTTGAGACTCCATAGCCTTTTCCGACTGTAACACCCTTGTCGTTCTTCTCCACAACCCCTCTAAATATGGCCGCAACGAATACGGATGTAGCCGCCAGCGCCGTCGACGACCGTGTCTTGTCCACCGCTCAGCAGATCGTCAAGAGCCTCAATACTCCTAAAGAGGTTCGTGAGGACATGCTCTTGATACTCTCCAGTTTTGATAATCGACTTTCCAGTATCAGTAGTTTGATCAACAGTGACGACTCGAAAACCAAGAACGACAGGTTGGACGCCGCGGAGAAGGTGATTCTTCGTTGGGACCCTAATTTCGATGTGTCGAGACGGTCGCTTAATTGGGAGGACTCGCCGGACGAGGCGGCTGAGTATTTATCGGCGGTGGATGATATAGTCCGGCTAGTAGAAGACCTTTCAATTGGGTCCGAGTCGACTGAGTTCGTAGACCGGGCCGAAAACGCGATCCAAATGGCGATGTGTCGGCTCGAGAGCGAATTCCGCCATATCCTCATCCAGAGCGCAGTCCCTCTCGACGCCGAGCGGCTCTACGGCTCGATTCGAAGAGTTCACCTCTCGTTTGCGTCCAATTACAGTGAAATTGACGATGAATTCGAGAATTTCGGCGAGGACAGTCGCAGTTCCGGGCGATTCCATGAGCGAGGTGGGACAATTGGAGAAGATTCTTGGGTTGATTTGATCCATCCTGATGCGGCTGTTGATCTATCGGAGATTGCGGACCGTATGATTCGTTCCGGCTACGAAAAGGAATGTGTTCAAGTCTACAGCACGGTTCGTCGCGATGCTTTGGACGAGTGCTTGGCAATTCTTGGCGTCGAACGTCTCAGCATTGAGGAGGTTCAGAAAAGTGACTGGAAATTTTTGGACGAGAAGATGAAGAAATGGATTCAGGCCGTAAAAGTAACAGTCCGGGTGATTTTGGTCGGTGAGAAGAGGCTGTGTGATCAGATCTTTAATGGCGCCAATGAATCCAAGGAGATTTGCTTTAACGAAACAGCCAAAGGGTGTGTGATGCAGCTGTTGAATTTCGGTGAGGCAGTGGCTATTGGGAAGAGGTCACCGGAGAAGCTGTTCCGAATCTTAGATATGTATGATGCTTTGGCCGGTGTTTTGCCCGACTTGGAAGCCATGGTTTCCGATGAGTTTCTGATTAGTGAGGCGCATGAAGTGTTGTCTGGACTGGGAGAAGCAGCCACAGGGACATTTGCAGAGTTTGAGAAAGCCATCGAAAGCGAAAATTCGAAGAAAGCGATGCAAAACGCCGAAATTCACCCGCTTATTCGATATGTAATGAATTATGTGAGATTGCTGGTTGATTACAGTAAGACAATGAACTCTCTTCTGGAAGACGAGGAACGCAGTGTGAACGACAATGACGATGATCTGCAGCTGGAAAGCACGTCGCCTTTAGCTCATAGATTGTTGATGTTGTTATCATCTTTGGAATCCAATCTTGTGGATAAATCAAAACTTTATGAGGATGTTGGGATGCAGTTCATATTTCTAATGAACAATATACTGTATATAGTGAAAAAAGTGAAAGATTGTGAGCTTGCCCAGCTGCTGGGGAGTAACTGGCTTCGCAGGCATAGCGGCCAAATTCGCCAATATGAAACGAGTTACCTTAGAGCCTCTTGGAGCAAGGTCTTGTGTTGCTTAAAGGATGAAGGCATTGGTGGGAGCACGAGCAATGCTGCCTCCAAGACGGCTTTGAAGGAAAAGTTCAAGAATTTCAATGCTGGGTTTGAGGAGATATGCAGGGTCCAGACGTCCTGGAAGGTATCGGATGCTCAACTGCGCGATGAGCTGATAATATCCGTTTCGGAGAAGGTGATCCCGGCGTATCGCTCCTTCTTGGGAAGGTTTAGAAATCAATTAGAGAGCGGAAGGCATTCTGGAAAGTACATAAAGTACACGCCGGACGACTTGGAGAACTCTCTATCAGATTTGTTTGAAGGATCACCTGCTGTTTCACATCACTTGCGAAGAAAGGGTACTTGAAACTCTTTCATGCTCTGAGCTATTGTTCATCCTTTTTTTTCCTAATGTTATAGACGCATGATATTGTCAAGCTTATGATCTTACTTACAAAAGTTCATACACTGTATATTACAACCACCAATGTTGTATACATTAGATTCTGCATCTTAATAATTTGAGGTCAAGTGATATTGTGGACATAACTTAAGACCGCCAACCCCGACCCCGACCCAACCGCTACTACTGAAAATCCATTAGTCAGTCTACTACTACAAAGAAGCAAGAGTCAAATCTGAATAGAGGCTAATCTAAACAAACAACTTTGTGCCATAGCTTTGTTTGTGTTGCTTGAAATGGCGAGTTCCTGGCATTCCTATTGCTTGTGATGGGGCTTTGATTATAACCCAACAACAGTCAAAATTCCCCATTTACATTAAGTTTAGGGAACACGTGAGTGCTTTCAGTTGCACACAGCTAGCGAACAACGCAAATCATTTGGTTAGATGAAGCATCAGCTCAATTATTGTTCAATGACAGCTTTGGATAGTCCCATCATTTGATTTTGGAAGCTCAATTACCTCATGTTTCTTTCAGTGTACCTCCCATTACTCTTGACCTTGATTGATCGTGATATCTCATTTGCTTCTCATTTTTATGTTCAAATTCGACTTCTCGACTTTTATTCAAACTTGTTATAGATGGACCCAAAACAGCCAAGTGTGGCTATATTTATAATAGATCGAACTCGCAACAAGCTTGGAGATTATGCCAAACAAAAATTTACACAAAATGTGGCAAACCCAGTAGAGAACTAATTACAGGTAAACTTGCCTATATTACAATATGCCCGTTCAATCCATCCACCAAACCACTCGAGATCAAGGACAGAGAACACACAGAACAGAAAACTAAATGAAGAGGGCCAAAGACTTATATTGACCGCATCATCGTGCTCTCGACACCGTATCACTTTCAAACCCGACTATCCTGAGGCAATGGCAGAACACCATCAAAGAAATCGCCAAAGTAACCGTGGGGTTCGTGGACTAACCTCGAGATTATGTCTCTAAGAGTGATAACTCCTTGCAGATTACCATCGCTGTCGACTACATACACGCGGTGAATCTTCTTGGAGTCGAGCATCAAAATCAGATGCTTTATCGTGTCGTCCTTCTTGCACGTAATCATGTTGGTCAGCATTGGAGAGACCTCGTCATGCTTCTCTAAGTAGCTTCTAACCGCTGTCAGAAAGTTTTTCGCTGTTATCGACCTGTCAGACACGAACAAGATCCCCATGTCAATCAATGATAAACATATGCACAAGATAACTCTAGTTCCTACAAGTGGTAACCACAACAACTGTGAATTAGATACTAAGTTATATGATACGAATTCGTTTCTATTTCATTTTTTTCTTAACCAAAAATGTAAAACTTTGCCTGCGAATCAACAAAGGCCGAACAATATCAAAATATTGGTCAAGGACCTGTAATCGTGGTAGATTTCTGGTGCAGTGAGCAAGAAATGGATATCTCTTAAACTAATATTTCCTATTGCCCTGTTTCCACCACCCCTTTCGATAACAGGGACACCTCCAACCCTCTTCTTCCTCATAAGTTTGAATGCTTGTAGAACGGGCTCATCCTCGTACACCTACGTTAAAAGGAGGACAACATCGAAGAAAGATAAATAACAATCAGATTTTGCTCAAATGAATAAAAGCATTCTCTAAATTTCTTATGACTATCCAAAAATAGACCTTGACAATAGAAGCGGGCGACATCATGGGAAGACCGAGCTCCAAGAGAGTCTTTGTTCCCCAACGTTCAAACCATTGTAGCCCTGCACATTCTGCTAACATGTGAATAACAGCAGATTGTGAGATGATGTTTTCAATCTTTCCCACCCCCAAGTCCACCACTGGTACACTTTTCATTTTGTACTTTGATAACAGTAAGAGCATGGTCAAGAACGAGTTCGTCGTCTGCAAAGCAAGAAACGGGGCCCAACGGAAAGACCCCGAGATGTCTCGCACCTGTACATTCAGAAGATTTGATGAAACATCAAACAAAGCCACATTCATCAGCTAGAAGGTGAGAAAAGCACCGAGATCAGACTGTTCTTCAAATTGTTTCTGATCTAATCTTGAAAAGGAAATCAAACCTGTGTGCTCTTGTACAATTCAGACGAAGTTAAGCATTCGAAAAAGCTTCCCGAGGTTGCTGCAGCTGATTCCGAGCCCAGTACCTGCTGTTCAACAGGAGATATCACCCCACTTGCTGCTGCAGCCACAGCACTTCCATCACTTGGACTTCTGGGGGATGGAGGTTCCGACTGCAAGACAAATCACGGTGTCGAAAATTGCTCATTAGTGTACAGTAATCTTAAGAGTTTCAAAGTTCATTCACAAGAGTTTTGAGTCAAAAACATAAATTATCACAAAGAACAAAGAATCCCTTGTCTTTCATCCCAATGTTTCAAAATCATTGATAGGATGCAGCAATGAACAAAAAATAAATGGTTTGATTCCAAAAACATGAGCATTCACACATTCTTAATGATCAAAACATAAATGAATTCAAATAAAATGTGCTTTGAAAAGAAAGATTCATTGGCAAAATCCTAACCTGCTGAAGAATCCAAACAGCAATTCCAGCAAACTCAACAACACCAATGTATCTATCAATCCAACTAGCATGATCAGGTGCATCAACGTCCACCACAGGGGCGCTGAGGATCTTATGTTGGGCCAAAATTTGAACAGCTTCAGCTAGACTGCTGTCCGATCTTATCTCAATTGCTGAACACAAATCCAGACAACAACACTTCAATAATCATCCAAATCAAAATCTCCAAACCAAACCAAAAAAACATCAACCATCCATTTCCTACGAAAATTGTCGAGCTCCACCTCAGCTTCAAAGTTCTAGCCACGTCACTAATTCCAAATTGTAATAAATTCATCAACCATCCATTGGTTTTCAAGAACAGAAAGCAAAACTCAAATCATATACGAACAAAATACAAAAGTGATTTGGAAGGGAAAAATAAGAAGGATGCCTTGATCAAAAGGGGCAGGTGGAAAAGCAGAGACAGGGATGCTTTCAAAACAAGCATTAAGCTTCTCGGTAGGACTGAGCTGCGGCTCTTGAACGTCCCATAAATCTTCCACTTGCATCCCCAGCTTCGCCTCTGGGCTTCTAGGACTCTCCTCTCTAGTTGCCGCCATCACCATTTTCTTCTCTCTCTCTCTCAATGATCGGACTTTCCTTTTTTTCTTTTTCCAATTGGAACAATGGCGGAAAGCATAAATAAGTCCGCTCAGTGAGGAATACCACTGTGCAACAGGGGAGTTTTAATTTCGTGCATTGATTTAATCCTGGCCGTTGAAGGGGCGGACTTTTGTATACGGAGGATTGACTGCCACGTGGTGGACTGAGGTGAATGGGGATACAGTGGTCAACAGAGATGTGCGGCTTTTACGTACAGAACGCTAATGCTTATCCGGTTTGCCGGATTGGGAATTAAAAAAAGAAAAACCACCTTCCTTCTTTCTTCTTACCCTATGTTTACTGCTAACCACTGCTGTGGGCGATGCTACCGTGCGCTGGACCGCACTTTCCGGCCTGCTTTGTGGCACCATTTCATAGGCTCTTCTCCTGCTACCGTGGCGGCCATAGCCTCAATTTTCGTCATCTCTTATGAATATTCTGTTTTTCCTTTTTCCTTTTTTTTTTCTTTACTAATCTCTTCTGTATATCCAAGTGGGTAGACTGGGCCGATAGGTAGGTATTTAGGAACTTATTGGGCCGGGTTCGTGCAGGCCCAGCCCACAAACAAGAATGAGAAGACAAAAATTACAAAATTTTCTCATCAATAATAATAGTTATAATTTCACATATATTTTCCAGAGTCGACTACTTGCGAGAGTCAATATGTCTTTCCTTTTACTTGGAATCAATATCTTGATTAACTTATCAAAATAAATAAGAAATTTTTGCATTTAATCGCGATCCATCCGATATCATATATGTGTCTAGATGCTTTACTATTTACTATGTCCTTTTTCTATTATAGGGTTTGACCATTGATTCCCATTATATTATCAATTGTAGTGCAACAGCTTTTAAAGTACAAGAATAGGTAATGAAATGTTTCTATTAGTAATTCTGATGGAGTTCCTTGATATTCGGTTATGTCGAAACTACTTAGTAACCATAGCAATCACTGACATTGAAGCTGTTATGCACCGAAAGCGGAACAAATGTACTCACAACACTAATGAACGAAATTACACACAGAGACACTAAGATATTTACGTGGTTCGAAGAGAAGAAGTTTTCTTACATCCACGGGTAGCAACTTGATATACAAAGTGTTACAAGTGAATATCTCACTATCACACTAGTACGTCACTCAACAAATAGGATGTGACACCTAAAACTCTCCCAAATCCCGATAACTAAATCTGATATAACTAAATTTAATTCAAATAATTAAATCAAATCTAATCCAAAATCTAATTTAAATAACCAAATCCAAAGAGAGTGTAAAATTGGTATAAATCGGACCCAAGATTACAGAAACAGAAACAGGCCGTAAAGATTTATTTTACCGCGCTTCCCGTGTATTTAGCGCTGTGGGCTTCTTGGTTCCGCCCTTCAACACAGATTTCACTCACCATCTTGCTGTCTTTCTAGTTTTTACTTTGCAAGGGTTTCTCGCCCATGGCGTCCTCCGCTTCTTCCTCGTCTCATGGCGCTTCCAAGTTCCTTGGCGACCTTCCTTCCCGTGGCTACTTTTCGTCTTCCGTCCCCTCCTCAAATCCTGTAATGTTTCTTCTCAAATCTCACTGTTCTTTTAAATCTTACTCTTCCATATTCGCTCTGTTTGAATTTTGTATATTTTTCCATCATTTTCACATCCACATTAGGAAAAAAAAATTCACTTAGCGAGGAATTATGTATAGTTCGATCAATCACTTGACTTCATTAGGGCCTGAAGCCATGGAAATTATAATAATGCATTTGAGTCTGCTAGCACGTTTACGAGGGAGTTGAGTTCATCATACGTTTTTAAGTTGTAAGAGAATGCTTTAACCTTCTCTCGTGCTTAAAAGGATGCTGTTGTTTTACTCTCATTTCGTAAGATTCCAAATTCTTAGTGATCAAGGACCTGTTCTTTATAGGTATGCGAACTTATATAAATTGTGACAAAGAGGTGTAATTTGAATTTTTCTGGCTAGGTTTTTGCTAGGATGCCGTTATTCTTTTGCATCTATTATTTATGTGTTTTGTTAGATCGGATGATACGAATGTTTGAGTAATTGAGTTGGTTATCACTTTAGTGTGAATTAAAGGATGTATGCGTGTTATTATGTTGGAAGATTTATAACCACATTGTAGTATGAAGGTATTTTTTGGATTATCAATTTTGAGAATTCAGTCCTAGTTTTTTCCCTTGCGATGGCTCATATGGTCATTTACAAGCATTTATCGTGGTTATTGTCCATATTGAAAGGATTTTTTTTTTCTTTCTAAATATGTTCATGCAGGGAAGTATGCGAGTCTATATCTGCCTTCATGATACCTCACCACCAGGTTATCTTTTATTTCTCTGAATGTTCATTTTATTTACCCCTAAGCAACCGTTTAAATACATAAGGCTGTAGGTGTACCATGAAGCAACACTTTAATCATGTAAGATTGTAGGTTATGCAGTTTGAGAACTGTTATTCACCAGATATTTGATTGACATGAAAATTGATAAAGAAAGGAGAATCTGATTTTGGCAATTTACATGTGTTTTGAATGTATGTGGAGAAACCAACAAATAGTCATTGTTGACATTACTGTCACGCTATCAGGAATGATATCTGAGATTCATCCATCATCCTACCGAATAGTTCTTGCTGAAACACGTCAGAAACTGGACTTATCATTCACCGATGCACTGACCACTATGTTGAGGATTGTTTGGAGAGAGTCCCACATTGGCTAATTTAGGGAATGATCATGGGTTTATAATTTAAGGAATACATCTCCATTGGTATGACACCTTTTGGGGAAGCCCAAAGCAAAGCCATGAGAGTTTATGCTCAAAGTGGACAATATCATACCATTGTGGAAATCTGTGGTTCCTAATACACACTGTGTTACTTTCTGCCATGTTATGTATTTTGAACACAGCAAAAACTAATAAATATTTACACCCATTTTGTTGCATCCAGAGGACCAAGAAATAAAGACTAACCAGCAGAATATACTTATTCGATCTTTGATGCTTAAAAATTCCAGCTCAAAGGATGGAAAGGGAGTAGCTGCAGCCGAATCCTCTCGAAAGAGGTACCATCATGTCATTATCTTTCTTAGAAAATAAAAGGCTGGTCTTCTAAGGTGGCTAGTTAGCCAAGTTTTGTTGAAACTATCGGATTTTGCTGCATTTTCTTAAGTGGCACTTGAAGCTAACAATTGATTGTCGTTTGTTATCGCATTGCTCATAAAATATATCATTTTCATTTCTTAACACATGGTGCACGTACCATATAGCATATAACTTTGGTTTTAGAATCTACATAATATTGAGTCTTAATTATGCTATCCTTATCTTTCCAGGGCTGGTGAAAAAATTTCAGATGGCAGAGCAAAGAGGACTGCCCAAGTAAGTTCAGGAAAAGGTAAGTTTTTGTTGATCATGTATACAGAAAGTAAGTAGGGCATGTTGACTGGCTCGTTACTCATTGCAAATGTTCTTCAAAAGAGTTTAACTAAATCCTGCCTTCGTTTCTCCTTGAGCATTGTGCAGACAGACATTAATGTAGTCTTAATCATAATTCATGAAAGTTCAATCAGCATCACCATTTCTTGTTAGCATCAATCTCTTGTGGTGCTCTTGTTTGTTCTTTTTGTTTTTTAAAATTATTTTCTTGTATAATCCAATTATTTTTCTTAGTATTTTATAGAGGAAAATTATGTGACCCATGTGCTGACCCCTCAAGAGTGAAGGAACAAAAAAGTATCAACCTAGCGGGGTGGTGCCCTTTCTCTTTAATATGAAGAACAAGTGAACGACCACTATCTATTATATGCAAAAAAACAATAAATCAATGCATATTATACATTGTGGTTCTACATTTTGAAAGGCCCCAACCCTTAAAGAACCCTGCATTTCATACTTTGGTGTTTAACGTCTAGAAATATGTCGAGCAGTTCAATTTGTTAGTAGGATATATCTGAAAATTGAAACAGAAAGGACCAGTCAGGGGAGGATGCGTTTTACCTTTTTACCTTTTTTCTTTCAATGATTAGTTTATAGTTTCATTAGAATTGTGTTCCAAATCTGATGATTATGGTAGCTACAATAATGCATCCAGGAGCATCAAACAGTGAAACACCGAGTAAGGATTTCCAGAATTTGACTGTAGAGAGGCTGCGTGCGCTTCTCAAGGCCAGAGGCCTTTCGCTCAAAGGAAAGAAGGCAAGTATATTATATTGTAATCAATGTGGAGTAGAGTAGCTGAATAAGTCTTATTGATCGTTGTGTTTGAGGATTGAGATGAATGCAACTGCTTTCTCTGTGGATTATCCTTTTCATATTTTTCGATCGGCTTGGTGCAGGATGAATTAATTGCCCGCCTTAGAAGCGCTGATGGTTAGACGACCACTATGGGAGTGAAACACGTGCTCCTCTACATGAACAACATGAGCAGCAAGGAAAGCAACCCGAGAGAGAAAGTTAAGGATGACTGTTTCCTCAACATTTAAATAGGAGTAGGGTAGAGTTGAAGTTGAACTGATGATGGTTCTTGAGAAATTAGTCATGAGTATCTGCATTCATTCATTTTGATTGAGGGAAAAAAAAAACAAAACATTGACAGTTAAAATATAGAGATAAAAGTAAGAGCGTGTATTTTTTTGTTTACTCTGATTTCCAGCAAAGCTTATGACATAGAAAATTGACCCTTCTGAATCATATTTGAAATCTGCAAGCTCTTTATCATATTTTTCAACTTAATGATCAAATTTTAGATTAAAGAGCTGTTTTATTGCACCTTTAAACATATGAAAGAAAATAGTAAGTAATATATGTGTGTGTGTGTGTGTGTGTGTGGTTTTGAAGGAGCGGATCAAGAACTCCAATGTTCTGATCAAATGGTCGTCGACATGCGTCCGCGAGAGAGAGAGAGAGAAGAGTAAAAATTTTGAAGTACCGCCACCAATACCAACAACCGCAGGACTGAATACAGTGCGTACAAATTAAAATACAAACCTCACGTCGGTTTCCAACCAACAGTGA